TTCAATGTTAGATTATTCTATTTCATTATCATTTCATTGTCTTCATTATTTATTTCATTATTTCATATTCATTTATTATTTTTTAAAATCAAATAAACAATAATATTGATATTCATTCATCATATTCATTTAATATAATAAATATACACAACATTTCAGAATAAAGAATGAATAATTAAGAATGAAAATATTGATTTATTCAATATTTTATTCAACATAAAATCAATAAAACATATATTTTGATAATACACAAATGAAATAATAATGAAATATACAATACTCAAGAATTAATAAAAAAGAAATAAAAAGAATAAATGAATATAAACTTGATAAATAATAGAAGAAAGAAATAGAAAAACAACGAAAAACAAATAATATAAAAAGAATAAAAATATATAAAAGAATAAAAATAAAGTAGAAGAAGAATATAAAAATAATAAATCACAAAGATGTAATAAAAGAAGAAAAGAAGAAATAAAAAGTGTATTTTTATTGTAAGAATTAGAAATATTCAATAAAAAGTGTCTAATTTAATGATGTAAAATGATTAACAATATTTTATTAATGAAAAATATTTTACTCTTTTTATGTTTATTATTTATGTGTATAATTTCATCATGATGTTTATTATATATTCAATCATATGTGTTATGTTATTATAACATATAATAAGTGATAAAATATAAATGAAAATGATATGAATATATGATATAGAATATAAAAACAAAAGAATAACACGAATAAATGATAAATAAATATAGAAATGATAATCAATGATATAATAATAAAATCAAAGTATAAAATATAAAATTAATATAAATATAAAATGAAAATAGATATAAATGATAAGAATATAAAAATGATAAGAATATAAAAATGATAAAGATGAATATTCAAATAAACAAATACATCTAAATATAAAAGAATAACAATAAGAAAATCTAAATAATATAAACATAAAAAACATAAAATAAGAATAATATAATAATATATAGATAATAAGAAGAATAAAATGATATAAATAATATAAACAGAGAAATAAATATATAAAAATACGATAGATAAATAACATATAAATAAAAGAATATGAATAATAAAAATGATTCATCAAATAATCTATTTCATTAATATTTCATACAAAATGAATACAAGTGATCATAAAATATAAACATAAATATTTATATATTCTGTATTTATCATACTTTTTATTTTTTATTTTTATTTAAGAGCAAAATATAATAAATGGAAAATTCTATGGATGCAAATTTTTTTGCATCTTTTTTCTTTTTTGTAAATTATTTAGATGCATTTTTTCTTTGCTAATTTTCGTACCCTAAAATTTGCATCCTTTAATTTTTCCTTCTTTTCTTCTTTTATCTTCTCTTTTTCTTTTCTTTCTTTTTATATTCACATATTTCTACTTTTATTCTTTCTTCATCTTATTCTACTTTTTACTTTCTTTTTATTCTTTTATATCTTTCTTTCTCTTCTTTTTCAATTATTTGCTTTTTTGCCAATTAGATCAGATATTCTTGAATAAACTGATTGAAGAAGTGGTAAGAATGAAAATTAACAATGAAGTTCTATTTGACAGTACATCAACTCAAGAATATGTGATGAAATATTCTTGTATCTGAATGAGAAATCGAAAAGCATGGAAATAGCATTCAATAAGTATAATATCTACAAAATATAAGCATCATCAAGACATATCTTAAAATGAGTTTGTTTGATATAAAAGCTGATATGAAGTAATAACACAAGGTAGAAGTGATAAATGAAATGACTTGATCGTTAGAGAATAGGAGAAGAAATTAAAAGTAATGAAGAGAATAAGAACAATAATTGAAGAAAAATACAGTGGATTGTGATGAAAAATCAACCAATTGAAATAACTGATTGAAATGAGAAAGAATATGAATATATCTCAACAATACACAAAGCATAAATGGAAAGAAAATAGAAAAAGAAAATAATTGAGAGAATTGAATCAACAGGAAGAAAAATTGACGAAGAAGGTATTGAGTTTGGATGAAAGTATTTAACAGACACACAGAGATTGTGAAAATAACAAGAAGTTCAAGTAAATGATGAATGAAATTGTAATAGAAATCGGAATTTGTGAAAACCACAAAGAAGAATAAGCTGTAGTAATGATAAGAATATCAAAATGGAAAGTAATTGGAATAGATAATATTCAATTATATTACTAAAAAATATTAGAAAATATGAGAGATAAGATAGTCACATTATTCAATGAATAGATAGAAATACAAGAAATGATCAAAAAAGAAATAATAATTTGAAGAATAATATTAATATAAAATCAAATGAAATGAACGAAGAAAAAGAAGTGTTGACAAATCACTTGTTTGAATGTAATTATGAAAATGTTCACACCAATCATCAAGAATAATATAGAAAAACAGCACATGAAGAATGAAACAAAATATCAATTAAACATAATCCAATATTGAGTTAAAAGAGGAAGCATTGAAGATAAAGAAAGAAGTGTATGGAATTTAATTGAAAGAAACACATGAGAAGCAACTAAAACAAGATATTTATACTCATCTAACATTATTAAGAAAGTATATGAATCAGTAAATAAGAAATAGATAAAATAGCATTAAAACACTTCAAACAAAATTTGTAATAACAGAAATGATAAAAAGTATATTCAAAAGATGAATTTGATGTAAATACAAATAAGAAATAGGAGAAGTTCAATTGAAATGTTGAATATTTCAAGGATATTAACTCTTATCGCTACTATTCATATTACAAATGAAAATAATATCAAATGTATTGGATGGTATTAATGAAAAAAGAATGAAAGTAACAAGTGAAATAAATGAAGGAATGTGAAAAGCATATCACAAAATACTTAAAACTCTTAAAGATATTAAAATGGAAGTGAATATCAACAAATGTTGAATAGTTAAGAAATGAAACATAGAAATACAACAGAGTATGAAGAATGTATCATTAGTATATGAAGAACATCAATAAAAATAGTTAGGAGTATTTCATTCTACAAGGAATAAGAATGTAAGATACATTAAGAATGTAATGAAAAGTATTGAAGAATAAATGGATGAGAATATGACTTTTTACGAAGAATAGAAAATGAAACAAGACAAACTAAAGACAATAGCTATATGAAAGAAATATTCTAAACTCATTATACAAATGAATGAATGAAGATGAAAATATGTAATGAAATAATGAATGAATTTGAAAGCAAAATGACAGATCAGAGAAAGTCATGCAATATATTTTAACAAAATAATGGAGAGAGGAAAGAATATACTCAATGGAAAGTATCAAACATTAGTGTTTGAAAACCAGCTATTTAACATGACATTACATATACAATATATCTAATATGCAAGAAAAAAAAAGCAACAAATGATACTATATTATTGAACTGCATTATTATAAAGAAAAATTACTTGTATAAACACAATAGAGTATTGAAATGTATCTGGAGAGAAATGAAGATCAAATATGAATTTTATGTGATGAAACACTACAATTAATAAGAGAGAAAAAGAATAAGATGATGTTAGTGGTAATAAATGAATCAAAAAAAGAGTATAGAAAATAGAAAAGAAACTGCATCATTATAGTGAGTTAAAAAGTTGTAATGAAACAAGAAGATAATATTCATAAAAGAATTAATAGTTATGTGAGAGACTTAAAGAAAAAAAAAATGCAATTATAATTGTTATGACAATAGAATGAGATAAGAATGTAAATATATATTCTAAACTACTAAAATATATCAGAAAAGTTAAAAGAATGAACATAGTACTAACTATAATAATTATAATTAAAATAAATGGATTAGTTAATACAGACTCAATTAAAATCGTATAATGGAAAATGAATCTAAATACTATAGTGGTTATTATAAAAGTAGTGTTGAAGAACATGAAAAACATTATGAAATAATGTGAGATTATACTGATAACAATAATAACATAGAAAAAACGAAATGATGAAGAATAGAAATAGAAGATAAGATAAGAAGAAATTCTCATATGAACAATGGGTTAATATTTACAATAACCTTGGTTTATATTTATTTTTAAATACACATTAGAAAAGAAGGAAATTAAAAAGAAAAAATATCCATAAAATTACCAAGAAAAAAAAGACGGGAGAAAATGTTTTAAAAATGTTATGAGAGATTTATTACCACCATTTTTTATGATGAATAAGTTTTAGTTTAACAACAATAATAAATATGTGGAGTATTGGATTAATAACTAAACAAAGCAGAATTTAGTAAAACTATTAAATTAAGATATTAAAAATGATATTGGTTTGAAAGTACAACTTATTATATTTGTATGGCAGTACTACAAATTTATCATTTTGGTTATATTAATTTATTACATTAAATGAAAATTATAATTTAATAAATATGTACTGAAAAGTAACTATATTTTTACTTCTTAGCTATAAAAGGTATATTTCTACATAAAAGATAACTGAAAAATTGGCGTTTTACAGTTAGAAAGCAGTCTAGATTTCAAAGCAGATTCTACACTGCAAATAAAAATTCTTCTTTCGTTAATTTCACATAAGATCTTATCTAATAAATGAATATTTAAAAAATAAACATTTTTCACAAGAGAAGAAGAACTATAAAAGTAATTTGAAAGAACTATAAATATTAAAACTTATTTAAAAATATGAGCAGTCGACGGGTTAGAGGGAAAAAAACAAGATCTGCAAGTGTTGCTATTAGTGAACAAAATCAAATCCCGAAAATTCAACAACAAAAGAAAGTTGAGGAACGTTCAATAATGTGGGATAATATATTACCTAAACCTGTTGGAGATGGTCGTATAAAAGATAATGTACCAATTCCAGAAACAAGATTATTACCAGAAAACTTTTTATATGCCGATGAAAAAAAACCTAATTTATCATTACTACGAAACCATTTAAGTAGAGAAGGTTTACTTCATCCTGATTGTGCTAAACGAATTATCACAGAAGCAACAAACATTTTAAAACAAGAACCTAATATGATTGAAGGACAAGCTCCAGTAATTATTGTAGGAGATCTTCATGGACAATTTTATGATATGTTAACAATATTTGATGTAAGACCACCAGAGAATGAAGAAAACACATTTATATTTTTAGGTGATTATGTTGATAGAGGGAGTTTTTCAACAGAAATTATATTATATCTTTGTGCATGTAAAATTAATTATCCTCATAGGTTTTTCCTTTTAAGAGGTAATCATGAAAGTAGAATTATGTCTGAAAATATGACATTTGCATCAGAATTTACTCGAAAATATCAATCAAATGAATTATTAGAATT